GGTATACTGCGGGAACTAAGCCTTTATATAATTAAACTTGTGATACTCTTGTTTAACTACAAGTTGAGCTTTTAGCTAATAAAGTCAACCACTTCAAAGAAATCTTTAAACTTTGAGTTTTGTAATATTAAGAGAATGATTAGTTATATCTCCTAAACTATAGGCTTAAATGGAGAGTAATGTTCATGAAACTTATACAGCGGGAAATAAGCTTTCAAATAATTAAACTTGTGACGCTCTTGTTTAAGTACAAGTTGAGCTTTTAGCTAACAAAGTCAACCACTTCAAAGAAATCTTAAAAAGTTTGAGTTTTGTAGTATTGAGAGCATAAATAGTTATATCTTCTAAACTATGGGCCTAATTGTAAAATAATGTAGGAACAATTTATACAGCAGGAGTTAAGCTTTCATAAAATTAAACTTCTGACTCTATTGTTTAAGTACAAGTTTAGCTTTTAGCTAACAAAGTTAAACATTTCAAATATAACTTAAAAGTTTTGATTTTTTTAAAAATGAGCGAATAATAACAATAACTCCTAAACTAGGGGCTTAAGTGGCAAATAATTTATAATAATTAGGGTCTTTTCCTAAAATAAACTAAAATTGGCTGCCAATCAGAGAAAAAAAAAGATTCATTACAACGAAAAGATTTTCGTTGAAGGACAGATCTATTAGTATTTACATGAAATATTCTAAGAGTATGTGTCAAAGTTTCTAAGTATAACTGTGTGTGTGTGTGTGTGTGTATGAATACAATAATGGTAATATCATCATACATATAAAAAGTCTAAAAACTGAATGTATGAAAATTATTTGACAAAAATGAAAATAAAAGAAATTGGAAAATAAAAATTATTATTACTAAAAGGGGCGGAGCCTGATAGGTTTTTCCCCCCATACCATACATTAGCAAACACTTAAAAGTTACTCACTTATATCTACATACATACATGGTAGGAAAAACATACACATACTCTCTCACACTATCATACATACTAACATATTCATATTTACTTAATAAAACATTACTCATAATATAAGAACTTTTCTATAATTTTTCTCTTTTTTTGTTTTTGGTTGATATTTTTCACTATTACTATGATTTTTTTTTCTATAAAATTTTCCTTTTATAGTTGTTGTTGTAGTCTTACAAATACATGTTGTTGTTATAAGTTTTTAAGGGAAATTTTTGTTTTATATTTGATAGATTTCTGTTGAGAATTGTTTTTTGGGGTGTTTTTTAAAGGTTTTTCCACCAAAAAATAGGAAAAAATTGGTAAAATATAATAAAAAAAACAACAAAATTTTTGTTACAGTAACTTTTTATACAAGCAACAACAACAACAAGGAAAAAATTGTCACAATAAAACTGCATTTTTATCAACTAATGTTAGTGTTGTTGTAATTGTTACTTTTAAAATCTGTTAATGTAGTAAAGTAGGGAGGGGTTGTTCTTTTTTCGAACTGATCTCTCCCTGTGTTTGTTGTTGTTATTGTTAAACCTATAAGTGTGTGTGTTCGATTTTTGATTTGTGCGGTTGGCGCTTACAATTTTATTGAAAACTAACAACAACAACTATAATAATAATAAAAATTTTTACACGAAAAAAATAGAATGCATTTTGAGGCAAAAAATTGTGTGTGTTTTAATGTGGTGTTGTTATATTATTTCTGCTGCATCATCCAGTGTTAAAGTGCACGTTCCAAAGGATACAACATACATATCACTTAACGCGCATGTGCAGCAGTTTTAAAATTAAAAAAATTAAAAACGAATTTTAAACGCGTGTTATTAAAAAAACTAAATTTTTTAAAAAAATTTCAATTAAACAAAAGAAGTTTTACAAATAACTATGATTTTAAGAGAAATTTAAAAAAGTGTTAAAAAATTTTTTTAAAAAATAAAATTATAAAATTTTAAAAAAATATTTATAAAAAAAATTAAATAAAATAAAACTAAGGATAACTAATAATACTATATGAGTACGTATTGCATTCAAAACAAATAACAAAAATGTGTAAAAAAAATTAAAAAAATAAAATTTTACAAAATTTTAAAATAAATCTTACGATTGCTATGCTTTGGCAAATTGTAAATTAGAATCTAAGATTTCAAACAATTAAACTCATGATCTCCAGGTTTAAGTAGCAGTTGAGCTTTTGACCACTTCAAAGACATTTTTAAATTTTTTTATTAAAATATTAAGCACGAATGAACCCTTAATTATAAATCCAATTCAAAAGTAATGTATGTGAAAATCAAAGAGCTAGCTTTTAGAAAATCTAACTATAAGGCCCTGGTTTAAGTACAAGCTGAGCTTTTGACTAATAATCTCAACAATTTCATATAAATTTGGAAATTTTGTAAAAAATATTTCAATATTGTATGAATCAATAACTCTGAAACCATTAAACCAATTGAAAAATAATGTTTATAAAAATCCTACAGCTGGACCTAAGCTTATAAAATATCAAACTTATAACCCTCTGATTTAAGTACA